ATCATAAAACAAGTACTTGTCCATATTGAGAGATATTGCACTAGAAAAGCATTAATTAGAACTAAAAAAAACACCGGTCGGCCATTTGTAATCCGATCTGAAAAACAAAATGATCAGCTTCAAGGTCCTATAGTGTCCAGTGTATATACCAAATTTGTTTAACAAAATTCATCTGTAAACAACCGATATCCGGTTCCGGAATGCCGGAAAAGCTTGATTTGAAAAATTGAATCAGATCGTGGAACAAATTGATATGCGGATGTATGTGTGAAGGTTAAATGCAATCTGCCAAGGGATATCTAAAATATCCAATCTAAAGTGTCCAATCACAATTTTGAAAATCAGGTGTACCAATTCAAATTAGTTCCCAGAATCACAGAAAAACACCTTTTCCGTTTAGCGGTTCTTTTATACAAGCTTCTGAATAAATGGTGGAAGAAGAGGAAAACCAGAATTATTATGCAATAACACCAAGCACCTATAAACTTTGACCCCTAATAACAGAAAAAAGCATATTCATGCAAAATTGACCCCCCCCCAAAAAAAAAAAAACCCGAGTATTCGTAACGAAACGATACAGAACCCAGCTCCTGAATTTCAAACTAAAAAGTTATAGCCATATCAATTCCGAACAGAAGGATATACCTATGTTCAACCTGAGCAGGGTGAAAGTGCCCTACAAATATGCTGGATATTACATTTAATCACCGTTCTAGGGGGTTGTGCTTTAATCAATTACGTGCGACTTCCCGCCATTCTACATTGACGTTGTTTATTATTCATAGACCGAGTCTTGTTTACCCTCTTGTAATAGGCCGCCATTATCAGTGTGTTTCCGAATTATTTCCAAGCACGATGTAATAATACATAGGCTGGCGTTATTTAACCTTCTAAGATGGAATAATCGTCTATTCAAGGAATGACCTTCGGGTTCAAAAGTTTAACTACATTGTGACGTCACCACTTCGTGTCAGACAGCGTCGTGATTCTGATTCTGTTTATTATCTGGCTCAAGCATCGCATTATGGCTGCTCTAGTCATCATTTGTGTCGTTCTATTGGTTGTTGTGATCGCTGTGTTTTATCTAGGCACACTGTTTGGAAGTAAACAGGTAAGCAGACACTGTAATCGATTGACAACGTCTATGGTTTACCCCGCGCTGGTGGAACAGTGAAAATGTATGACATACGCTTTGTATTGTATTGGTTCCAAATGACTGACTTGTTTTGTTAAGTTATTTGTCTGACCAGTCATTGGTATTCGTAAATGATAGCCACATAGACTAGACTAGTGCCGGTTAAACGTTGTATTAAACGCGGCGTGCAATGAAAAATACGACTACTACTTGCCCAACTAGCAATTAACAAAGCTTCGCGTTATGGGCAACATATATTTGTATTTTTGTTTAACGTTCAAATTTAGTAACTCGAGTTGTTATTATCAGTTAACGAGCTTCAAATTACGGGAAATATACAACGTTAAACGAAATAAAGCTGTGTATACACAATGCACTATTTCTATTTCCCGTCTCAACTTGTCTCACACAAGTATTTGTTCTATCCAAGTCCGATGGACATATTTGTTTGATTTTGTAAGGGTCGTAGCTGGGTAGTTACTGGATACAAAATCTCGACAGAAATCTCGGCAGGAATATATTTGTGAACAAACATAGAATAAATGCTCATTGACAAATGAATATTTACACATATTGTATTGCATGTTAATCAGTGAGGCAATATATAGAATAAACATGTCATAACATTCAAGGCCGTTGACATTTATACAAACATAATACGCACCACACGGTTAATACCAGTTTTGTGTTTCTACTTTTGTTTTGTGTAATTTCATGACGTAATAAGTGTGTCCGTTAACTTGTAGGAACAAGTGCTTGCTAGAATACCAGGAATGAATCCAACTAATTCTGAGTAAGTACAATTC